ACTAAGATATTTTGAGGTAGTGACAGGAGAACCTAAGAGACTTTTCAATGGACTATCTTGCTCTTCTCAGGATATCTCATAAGAATTAAAGAAGCCAAGATGGAATTAAAAGTTTGGGGAAAATAACAAGTAGAATACAGGAAAAGAGTCCAGTAAGGGTGAATACGTTTGCCAAGCAGTGTTGAAACATCCAGCTGGGGTTGGAATAGAAATTTCAATATTCCTAATTTGCAGCGGTAACAATACGCTTCTGCTTCACTCAGCCGATCAGAATGCAGGAACTGTGTGGTTGGTTTAATCTAGGTTGGATATTGCTGTGGTGGGCAGGGTATGGGATAGACCACTCTTGCGATGTCAGAATTGCCTAGATGAGGACAGGGGTGGGAGTGAGGAGTGAGTTGGTGATATCAAAGCAAGTTCCCAATGTCATTAATGAATGATGACACATGTCCTGGGAAACTGATGATAGTGGCAACAAGAATGAGAAACAGGTGCTGTGATTGGCCTTCGCTCTGAGGGAGGGGAGGTGCTGGAAGGGGTATCATGGAACAGGGGCTCTAAATAGCAATGGGGGAACAAGAGAATGCCAAGGTAACTATGTGGAAAACAGACCACATAACACAGACATAATGGCATATACATATGTGTATGTAGTCACTGACTGGGTCTTTATAGTATAGTCACATTTGAGGCTCATTCATAGCCTTTCTCCCCTATTTATTGAACAGTTGGGTTCTAGGCTTCTGATATCTGGGTCCAGCCATGAGGAAGTCAGGCTAAGTATGAAGGGCTGAACATTTATTTATTTATTTTTAAAGGTTTATTTATTTTGAGAGAGAGAGACAGAGGGGTGGATAGGGGCAGATGGAGAGGGAGAGATAGAATCTTAAACAGATGCACTGCTGAGCGGGGAGCCTGGCTTGGGGTTGGATCTCACAATCCTGAGATCATGACCTGAGCCAAAATCAAGAGTGGGACGCTTAACCGACTGAACCACCCAGACAACCCAGGGCTGAACATTTATTCAATTAGTGAATTTTGACTGAAGGTACCAGGTTCTAGGCATTGTCTGAAGATTCAAGGAGGAAAAAGGTCTGGATCTTGCCTTGGGCATGTGCATATTTACTGCAGTCTCAGCTTTACAAAGATTATAAGGGGAAACTAGAGCTTCCCACCAGTAATTCTCCTTCCCACTAAATATGTGATGTTGGAGATTGAGAGAGGGTTTGGGAGAGGGCTAGCAAAGAAAGTCTGACAGTGTCAGTAAAATTTTGGAATTAAGGAAATATTTTCTAATTTTTTTTAAAGATTTTATTTAATTATTTGAGAGAGAGAGAGAGAAGCTGGGGGAGTGGCAGAGGGAGAGGGAGAAGCAGACTCCCCACTGAGCAGGGAGCCCAATGCAGGGCTTGATCCCAGCACCCTGGAATCATGACCTGAGCTGCAGGCAGATGCTTAACGATAGAGCCACCCAAGAAAGTCCCAAGAAAGTATTTTCTAAAGAAAGACTTTTATCATTTTCAAGTAACATAGTATGGAACTTAGACTTATGAATTTCCCAGCAAAGATTCTGCTTAATTTAGTTGATAGGAGAATGAAATTGATTGGGTCTACCAGCACTGGTGAATAACACTGCTTACAGGTATGGGTAGGATTTCATGGGTGGTGGGGTTGCCAGGCATTCTGCACATCCAAGATATGTCCTGTGTTTAATGGTTTGTCCTGCTTTCTGTATTGGCTTTCTCAGGACACCTGAAATATTCTGTAACCATCTTTCCCCCCAACATATTATAAAAATCCATCAGTTAAAGCTATCATTCAAATGTATCTGAGCACCCTATACTTTTATTTGCTAAATTTTGTGGCCCTACTAAGGAATCATTCAATGCCTATAACCTTGTATACTTTGGCCTGCTTAATGGTGTCTCCCTGTCAAGGCAAATACGACTTCCTGTTCCAGGAATTTCCCAACACTGATCACAGTCTGTCTTTCTGAAATTATTACCCAACACCGATCACAGTCTTTTTGAAATTTTGACCTGCTGCTCCAACATCACTCTTTGAGACCACAGAACAAATCTAATCCTTTTTCCTTAAAGGAGTTCAGTTATTGAATTCACTTTGTTGGAGACCACCTCATGTTGTAGACTCTTAATAAGCTCCCTATGAGCTAAAACCAGCGGTGTGCTAGTAAACTGGATCAAAAACACAAAAAATAAAACTTTGATTTGTGGCATATGCTGATTTCTGTGGTGAAAATGCTCCTGCTATGACACCATGACGAATTTCACACTGCCGAAGTCAAGTCTTTGAACTCAGAGTTGGGAAGGGATGTGCACATTCCACTCTTGAGGTTGGTAAGCGCTAGCTCCAGCACAACAATCCCTAAGTTTTCTTTTTATTGACATATTTTGTAATTAGTTTCACTCTATTTGAATATTGAGTTGTTGATACTGGTATCTTTTTTTTTTTTTAAGGTTTTATTTATTTATCTGAGAGCGCACATGAGAGAAAGCACAAGTGGGGTGAGGGGCAGAGGGAGAAGCAGGCTCCCCTCTGAGCAAGGAGCCCGATGTGGGACTCGATCCCAGGGTCCTGGGATCACGACCTGAGCCGAAGGCAGACGCTTAACAACTGAGCCACCCAGGTACCCTTGAAAAGAATTTTATAAACACTCTACACATAGGTTTGATAAGAGGAGGTGATGGGTTGGCTATGGAGAGTAAAGAAGAGGATGAGATCAAAAATAACTCCCGGGTTACCGGGGATCACTACTAATCAAGACAGAGACAAGACAGTAGGTTCAGGGAGGAAGGGTAAGTAATTTATACATTCCTCGAGCAAATGTTTATTGAGCACTAATCCATGTCAGGCACAGGTATTTCTGAGGACAGATATAAGAGAGAACACAACAGATAAAAATCCTTGCTCTTGTGGAGATGATATTTTATCTTATTAGAACTGGCCCCTTGAGGGAAACCTGTGGGAATCTCCTTGGACCCAGAATCTTCTGCTGAGTAACTCCCCTACGCTTTCCAGGTTCAAGTCACTAAAACATTTGATAAATGGCTTTCTAGTACCTTGTACCACACCATTAGAAACCACCATCCAAACTGATTTCAGATGGTGCAGCTGTTACCTCCTATAGGTAGCCTTTCGTGCCATTCCTTACCGACTCCCTCCCTCGGAATCCAGTTAACTCTTGTCCCCTAGCAACCCTTGTAGTCATAAGATATAACCCTTGTTATTTGTGTAAACTGTATCTTTTTGCTTCCCTGCTACATTGTACATTTTCCAAGGGTGTTTTCTTGCAAGTTCCTCATTAATAGATGAAGTAGAGCCATCCATCAGCTTAGCCTTTTTCTGAAGCAGTAAAGTCCACACTAAACACATTTTCAATGTAAAATATTCATCTAAGCCAGTCAAAATCATTTTTACTTTACATTAATATTTTCCCTCTGGTTACATTAAAATAAAATCCCCGAACAAAAATAGAACCCCTCAAATCTGTCCTTCTGGGATTTTATTCTAATTAAACACACATACATTTTTCACAGTTCATTATAAAAGTAATGTTTTTGAACTCCCTACTAGTGACTTTATTCACTGTTTTACATTTGGCTTACTGCTGGAGGAAAGGTACATGCACGCGGGAGGAAGGGTAATTAGATGGTAGCGCTGGGGCAAATATTTACTTGGGAAAAAATAATACAAATAAATATATGAATCAATGTCTAATGTCAGTCATCCCATAACCCACTAGGCAAGGGAATGGCTTTGCTCTAGACTCTGGCATCCAGTAGAAACCATCTCTAGAAATCATTTCATCTTTATCTGTAACGGTAACGTGGCATGGTGTTCTCTAGATGTGTTGCATCTGCCACCGGGCAAATCTACAGAACTCTAAAGAGTGTCATTTGCACACAATTTCTTCTTGTACAGTGAGTAGTTTCCGCAGGACCTGTGAGCTTGCTTAGGTTTTCTGAAGGTCTCAGGATCAAAGCCTTACACATCCCTTTTGTCCTCAGAAAAGCTATCACACAGCCATACCTTCGACATTCCACTAAGTTTTGATCTTGGAGGCATTTAGAACATTCTTACATTTCTAATTTTGTTCCAGTCTGATACGTGTCATTGTACTTTCTCTCTTTAATCAAATACAGAGTCAACATCTCTTACCAACTTCAAGAGAGACCACTGATGTAGGGCTCTCATCTCTGATGTTTTGTGCACCTAAATAAAATTATTCGGTAGGATGTTTGTGCTCCAAGAGCTGCCGTATATATTATAGACAGCAAAGTTTTCTGGCAAGTTTGCTTTTGGCTTCTTCAAAAGTAACATGGATTTTCCAGGGCTAAAGGACACAAAGAGGCATTTACTTTTCAGATTTCCTACCCAATATGTTTTAACGTAAGTAGAAAAAGATAGTACCAGTTTCCCAGTGTAGAGGATTTCTCTGGATCACTCCACTGTATCCATTTCTCTGCCTCTCCTTGTGAGAAGGCTGGAACTAACAGATAAGCTGGTCTTCTGCCCATCTGCCTAGGATTAACTTCTTCCCTTCCTTGCTTTCACTCTAGATTGTGGATTTTGTTTGAAATCTGTTTCACTTTCGACACTTAAAGAACGACCTCATTTAATCCTGCTCAAGTGATAGCTGGGAGCTCTTAATAACAAACAAACCCAAAACGTTCTGTGTGGCCAATCATATAGCTCATGGCAGCCCCATGAAATTTGATCTAAACTTTATCTCTGATTCTCTTTTGACACGTCCTTTTCTATTAACACTGAAAAAACCAAGTCAAAGTTTAGGCCAAGTAGGGGCAGGGCCTGGTGGAGAGGTAGGAGTTGACTGAAATTGGGGGTCCCTGAAACAGACAATTATCACCCCAAACCCATTTCCCTCAAAGCTGGGGGTGATGGCCGAGTTATATTCTCAAAGCCACCATCTGCCTGGAGAAAGGGTACTCTGCCTTTCTAATCCGTAACATCCCCAGTACCTTGGTCATTGCTGGTGGTCATACACTCCGTGGACCAGTCTTGGGGGATCACAGGGGCAACCAGCTCAGCAAACTCCGTCAGAGGACAGCTGGAAGTGCAGCCTGGCAACGTGAGGGGGTATGGTTCATGCTGGGTCTCATTCCGGTAGTACATCTCTACAAAGTACTCCCTGGTGGAGGAAGGTAGAAGACGGAGCTGTTAGTTCTGTGTTGTTAAACTGCCATTGAATTATTTTCCACCTGGCCTGTAATATGTCAGCTGTAGTTAAGAAGTTAAGAAGTTAGGGGCATCTGGGTGGCTCAGTCGGTTAAGCATCTGCCTTCAACTCAGGTCATGATCCCAGGGTTCTGGGATCCAGCCCCGCATTGGGCTCCCTGCTCAGCGGGGAGCCTGCCTCTCCCCCGCCCCCCCATGCACGCACTTTCTCTCTCAAATAAATAAAATCTAAAAAAAAAAAAAAAGAAGTTAAGAAGATACAAGTTAAGAGGGGAAGAATTTACAGGAGTGAGTAGATATTAGCTAACTTAAGTGCGGGAATGGGGGGATTGGGGCAGGTGGACCAGATCCAGAGGGTGGAAATGGGAGGGCTGGTTTGTTAGATAACCAGGGGCAAAAGAGGTGGGGACCAGGACGCTTAATTGGAGAGGGAGCTGAGAGGCAATGGTTGGGGGAATTGGGGTGATCTGATGAGCCTTTGAGTAAGAAGTGGGGGGCAGGTAGGGTATTGGGTTTTCCTTCTCTTATTCTCTCCCCTTCATGATCCTCATTTGCTTCATTTTCTCTTTTCCTCTCTCAGGATTTCTTTTAGGTTTTCCTCTGAATGAAGGTATCTCTGCTTTCCTTATCCAGGCAATAAACCTGGAACTGAGCAATACTTAACACATGTGCTTAAATATACATCCAGACTTTGTCAAAATTACACCTCAGAAAGAGGGTGTAATTCCTTATTCCTAAGTCCTTATACTCCCTCATATTTGATACTTTATTTGAAAAAACAAGGTGTATGCCAACCTTATAAAACTAGTATGAGGGCCTTATGGACTCATTTGCCAAAGAGGCGGGAGAGAAACGGAAGTAGGATTTAGTGATTATTCTTGGGGTAGTAACCTCACAACTACAAACAAGTCTTCTAAAATATCACTTTCAGGGGTGCCTGGGTGGTGCAGTTGTTTAAGCATCCGACTCTTGGTTTCCGTTCAGGTCATGATCTCATGGTCATGGGATCGAGCCCCCAGTCGGGCTCTGCGCTAGATGAGAAGTCTGCTTGAGATTCTCTCTTTCTCTCTCTGCCCCTCCCGCTCATGCTCTGTCTCTGTCTCTAAAATGAATAAATAAATCTTTAAAAAAAACCATCACTTTTGGGGTGCCTGGGGGCTCAGTCATTAAGTGTCTGCCTTCGGCTCAGGTCATGGTCCCAGGGTCTTGGGATCGAGCCCCGCTTCGGGCTCCCTGCTCCGCGGGAAGCCTGCTTCTCCTTCTCCCCCTGCTTGTGTTCCCTCTCTTGCTGTCTCCTTCTCTCTCAAATAAATAAAATCTTAAAAATAAATAAATAAATAAACTTCACTTTTAAAAGCCACATAAACAGTAGTAACTACAAATATTCATTTAGGGATATGTTTTTAAAAACTTCCCAATATTATGTGAATGACTACTTATACCCTGAGATGACTTTCCCAGTGACACCATCTTTTATCTCAAGATGATATGGCAAAGATGACTAATAGTCGATCAAAATTCATGATTCTCGTTCCAGATAATAGAGTCATGGCTGAAAAGTGACACTTCCCAGATTCCCTTGCATGTAGGTGGGACCAAGTGACTACACACATTTCTTGGAGATATTGTGGGTTTTGTTTCAGACCACCACAATAAAGCAAATATCATAATAAAGTGAATCAAATGAATTATTTGGTTTCCCAGTGCATATAAAAGTTATGTTTATACTATATAGTAGTTTATTAAGTGTACAATAGTGTTATGTCTAAAAAAAGGTGTATAACTTAATTAAGAATACTTTGTTGCTAAAAAAATGCTAACCACCATCTGAGCTTTCAGCGAGTTGTAATCTTTTTGCTGGGAGGGTTCTTGCCTCAGCGTTGATGGCTGCTGACTGCAGGGTGGTGGTTGCTGAAGGCTGGGGTGGTTGGGGCAGTTTCTTAAAATAAGGCAACAGTGAAGTTTGCCATATTGACTGACTCTTACTTCCACAAATGATTTCTCTGTAGTATGTGATGCTGTTTGATAGCATTTTACCTATAGAACTTCTTTCAAAATTAGAGTCAATTCCCTAAAACCCTGTTGCTGCTTTAACAATTAAGTTTATGTGATATTATCAGTCCTTTGTTGTCATTTCAACAATGTTCCCAGCATCTTCACCAGGAGTAGTTTCCATCTCAAGAGACCATTTTCTTTGCTCATCCATAAGAAGAAACTCCTCATCCATCAGTTTTATCATGAGATTGCAGCAAGTCAGTCCCATCTTCAGGCTCCACTTCTAGTTCTAGTTCTCTCACTCTTTCTACCACATCTGCACTGAAGTCTTAAATCCCTCTAAGTCATCCACGAGGGTTTTGGAATCAACTTCTTCCACACTTCTGTTAATGTTGATATTTTGACTTCTTCCCCTGAATCATGAATGTTCTTAATGGATTTAAATGGTGAATCCTTTCAATATACTTTGCCCAAATCCATCAGAGAGGAATCACTAGGGGTGCCTGGATGGCTCAGTCAGTTAAGCATCTGCTCTCAGCTCTGGTCATGATCCCAAGGTCCTAGGATTGAGTCCCGCATCGGGCTCCCTGCCCAGCGGGGAGCCTGCTTCTCCCTCTCCCTCCCTCGGCTCATGTTCTCTCTCTCTCTCAAAAAAATAAATAAAATCTTAAAAAAAAGAGGAATCACTAGGGTATCTATGGCAGTTAAAGCCTTACTATAGGCCTTAAAAAGATGGAACCTTGGGTCCCCAAATCACACCATGGGTGAGTCACCTCCTAATGGCCAGGGACATCTCTCTCTTTTTTTTTTTTTTAGGGGGGAGGGGCAGAGGAAAAGGAAAAGAGAGAATCTTAAGCAGGCTCCATGGCCAGTGCTGAGCTTGATGCCAGGCTTTATCTCACAACCCTGAGATCATGACTTAAACCAAAATCAAGAGTTGGACGCTTAACCAACTGAGCCACCAGGTGCCACAAATGAGGGACATCTCTATTGGGGTATTACATGAATGAGAAAATGTCCATTGGGATAGGCCTCTGAGAATCTGAGGTTAATTTGTACAGCAGCCAAAACTACCCTTATTAGTTAATATATCTGGAAAACAGTTTTAGGGGACTCAGAATTGGCTCTAGTGGTGAAGACACAAATTAAGATGCATACAAAGAGTTTGGATAAATTGTTTCATGAAATTTGAAAGTGGAAAAATAGCAATATTTTTAACTTAGGGAATTATTTTACATAGTATATGATTTTATTTATTTATTTTTTATTATGTTCAGTTTATGATTTTAAATTTATGTACCTAACTGAAAATTAAATATTTTTTAAAAATTTAAGCTAATAATAACAATAATAACAAAACCTGGGGGCCAGTGGTATTAATTGTGAAAAACACCTCTTAGATACTCACCCCTTCTCAAGATACAATTCCATTATGTGGCAGGAAGCGTAGGGAGGAAGGATTCCATTGTAAACATCTAGTGCCATCTGTAGGCCACTCACGGTAGTGTCATGCTGTGGGGATTTGAAATAAATCATTTTTGATCTTTACCTCTGGTTCAGATGTACATTCCATGGGTAGTATTAAGCACTTGTAGAGAACTGTGGTTTCTGATTCACTTAAAGTTGCCATACCCCCATGGTAGAAGGGAAGAACTAATTTTGGTGGAGCATCTGTTGTGTGCGAGGCAGTATGCTTTTTTTTTTACATATCATTATTCCCATTAAAAAGATGAACAAACCCAGATAAATTAAGTAACTTGCTTAACATCATATAACCCCAAAATGGAAGAAAGTAAATTTGATTCTAGTGTTTGGGTTTTGTACCATGCTTTTTCCCAGTGGATCATCTCTGTTTTAGCTTGTTTCATTGATTTTTATTATATTTTAAAATATTTTGGAACATATTAATGCTAGATTATATTTCTTCTGCAGATTAGCATAATGTGTGATTTTAAAGTTGGGGAAGAGGCTTGCCTGGGTGGCTCAGCTGGTTAAGCGTCTGCCTTTGGCTCAGGTCATGATCCCAGGGTCCTGGGATCGAGCCCCATGTCAGGTTCCCTGCTCAGTGGGGAGTCTGCTTCTCCCTCTCCCTCTGCCTCTCCCTGATTGTGTTCTCTCTCTTTCTCAAAGAAATGAATAAAAAAATCTTAAAAAAGTAAAGTTGGGGAAGAATATATAAGATTATAAATGATAGAGAGGTTAAAATGTGAGGAAATATAGCGCATAACTGAAAAATAATTGCTAATTGTTTATCCCAGAGTGGCTGGAAGGCATAGGGCTGGTTTTCAGTCCCAGTTTGGCCACTATTTAATTACATAATCTTTGAAAGTCCTCAGCTTCTATATCTACAAAATGGGCATAACATCCGGTTGCCTAAACTATATGGCAGTATACACATATTAAAAAGGGCTCAGAACTGATTTACTGGAGAAAGAACTAGAGTTACAGATTTATAACTTGCCAGAAATCATACAAGTTAGAACGGGAAACCAGATGAGAAACTAAAGAAACTGGCAGAACGGACTGGTTTCCGGAAGTCCCTCTCCAGGGAGGACCACACTCTGTTCCAACCATAAGCTCTTTGTCTTATACCATTCAGAACCTCTGCTGATAAACAAACTTCCCTGTATCTGGAGTCACCCCTTCCAGCTTCCTGCAGAATGAAAACATGGCTTTCTCCAGCCAAACCATATCTGAGAAATCCTCTGTCCTAGAGAAGTGGGTGGGAAACTTGAGTTCCCATACTGTGTGTTCCGGTTCCCTGCTCATTGCAGACTCCACAGACAGCCATTTCAGTGCTCAAAGTACCCCTCGAATCTCCGCGCCCTGCCAATCTCCCTGGCTCCCTGAACAGTGCCTCTTTCCCTGGCTTCTGCTCCCAAGGTTGGAGTCTTCTCCGAGACCTCCCTTTTTCTTTCTGCACCCAGTTTGGCTCTAACTTCATGTTGCAGCTCTTTTTCCCCTTCTCTCTTCTAGTCCCTTTGCCTCCTGGAGATTTCTATTTGGAAGCTCCCTGGGATTTCAAACCCAGTTGTCTAAATCGTTACATTCCCCTGGCCCAAGAGCACCTCGGTTAATGGCTCCACTCTTTTCCCAGTCCTGGAGGCTTGAAACATGGCCTTCGTCTGTGGTTTTACCTCCACATCGTTACTCCCCACCCGCATCCCATTCATCATCGCATCCCGTTCATGCTCTGCTTTTAGTTTGGAACAGAAGTGATGCTTCCCTTCTCTGTGTCACCAAAGCACTTGCTTACGCTGCATTTCTATACTGCTCTGCGTGGTGTTTATGTCTTCTTGTCAGTCCTAGACTGTAAGTTCCTCAAGGGCCAGAATTATGTATCTAATTTTAAAATTAAAATTTAAAATAAAAACAAAACAAAATACAATTTAAAAATGCCAACCACATAGGTGGTCATCTATACACATATTTAGGAGAGCTGAAGAATCAATATCCAAAATGTCTACCATCTACTGGGCAATAGGGAAATGATGATGAAGAAAATGAGGCTCCTGCCTTAAAGAGGTCACTGTCTGACCAAATGGATGTTGAGCGGAGGTGAAAACACTTACCGCAGAATACATGACAAGTTTTCTGTGGTTCGATGGCTGAGTTGCACTCTTCATGTGATTGAGGATCTCACTGACCAGGACACCTTAGAAAAGACAGATCAACAAAGGAGCTGAGCCAAACATGGGCTTAAACTTTTTGTTAATTCCTACTTTGTGATTCTCCCTGCCATGATTCTGAAAACTTAAGAGAGGGAAAGAAATTACTTCGGTTGAGCACCTACTGTGTGCTTTATGTTATTTTACTGAATCCCGACTTCTATCCCCCATTTTTTTTAAATAATTTTTTATTGTTATGTTAATCACCACACATTACATCATTAGTTTTTGATGTTCTATCCCCCATTTAACAGTGGGAAAGCTGAGGCCCGACGACATACAGTTACTCATATACAGGCTGGGCAAGGAGAGTTGGATTGACACACGAGGACGCTACTATCCCAAGGTTTTGTCAAAGCTTGAGACAGGAGGTTGAGGACCTTGGAAGGAATTACAAATGGCATTTTTCAGACAGTTGCTAGCTAGTGCTCTTCTCCAGGGCAGCCCTGAAATGACAGCCTGGCATCTACTCTGTCTTCATCCCTCTTGCTTCTACTCTCCGGGAGTCAAACCATTGGGAGGCCATGGGAGAAAGCAGCTCTCTGGATGTCTGTATAGGTCCTGGACTATTTTCTGTGGACCATTCCTCCAGGTTACCCTGGGGATCACTATTAGGGGGCAGCCAGCATCTTCTATCTGAGGGCTCCATAGAGGAGAGCTCTTGCCCTTCATGTTGTTGTTCCTGAGGTGGTGAAGGGCAGGCACACAACTCAGAGTCTCCATCCTCTTGGCAGACGCTGAAGGCTGAGCGGTATCTTGGGGTGGCAGGTGCTGGCTTGAGGACATGGTGCCCCAGGGATTTCCACAACCATCACCTGAAGACTCCTTATATTTCTGGTGGGTTTTTTTTAAAGGTTTATTAATTTATTTGAGAGAGAGAGAGAGAGAGAGCACAGGGGGAGGGGCAGAGGGAGAGTCCGAAACAGACTCCATGCTGAATGTGGAGCGGGGTGTGGGGCTCGATCCCACGACCTGGAGATCACCACCTGAGCTGAAACCAAGAGTCAGACGCTCAACCAACTGCGCCACCCAGGCGCCCCGGTGGTTTCTTTACTACACATGTACACTCCTGGCTTCAGAATGACCAGTTTGTTTTTGTAAAGAGCAGGGCATTGATGTTAACAGACTGTCATTCCCGACTCTGTGGTCCACTCAGCAAACACACTGAGCAGCTATCATGGGTCAGATGCTATGCTAGCTGAATCAGACTCCTGCCCTCAAAAAGCTCATAAAATAGTACAAAGAGACTGTTTTCTCATCTGTCTACCAAGAGGCACCATAAAGGGTTAATTAAGAAGGGAGGCGGTCTGCTCTCTCTGTAGATGCTGGGACTCTCTTGACTAGGAATAGAACCTGGAAGCCACATCTCCAACAGGTCTACATCACTCTGCTTCAGAGAAGGTGGCTTTCTCAGCGTCCTTTAGGGACAACACCATCACCCATCAGCAACCTGTCCTTCGACAGGTGCCTCTGCAGCAGCCTTCGGTGTTGATAATGGGATATGGTATCAGCTCTTGGTTCTGGGGGTGGTTGTCCACCTTGCCCCAGAAGAACCTAGGGGTAACCACCATAGTTACCCCGGGCTCTGAGGTGCCAATAATTATGTTTTGGGGGGGCACGGAGGTTCAGAGACATTCAGCAATGTGCCCAAGATTCCACACCCTGTGCACAGAGGGGCTGAACGTCTCTGAACCCAGCATGTCTTAATCATCTGACTACCCTGTAACACAGGCTAGTTTCTGAGTTCCCTGTTGCATCATTTACTGACTACATACACTAGACAAAATATCACTGACTGGAAGATACAAACTTCCCTTCCCACACTCTTGAGCTAGAGCAGGGGCTGGTATACTTTTTCTGTAAAGGACCAGACAGTCAGTGTTTTAGGCTCTGTGGACCCCATGGTCAGCCGTAACGGTTCCCTCTCAGGGCGAAGCCCCAAAACAGCCATAGCACTACCTAAATGAGTGTGGCTGAGTTTCAATCATATTTTATTTATAAAAAATAGGCAGCAGGCTGGATTTGGCTTGCAGGCAGGAGCTTACATCAACCTGGGGCGTACAGCAAGGAGAGGTTTGCATTAATACAGATATGACCAGCCATATATCAAAAATTCCTAAATGAACCTTAGGAATTTTTGTGGTGTGTGTGTGTGTGTGTTTGTGTGTAGAAGGAGGTGGTGAAGGAGTACAGAGTACCAAATTGTGTCATCCCTAAAACCAACTGATGGAACAAAAGTTTTGGCAAAGATCAGAAGATGCCAAAATTCTGATGTTCCTGTGTGACTCTGTGTCACCCAGACAATACAGGTTTTCTCTGTAGGATTGTGTTTAGTGGCTTCATCATCCAACAAGCACGCAGTTGCCAAATCTCCCTTGCCTACCCAGATCCAAACAATAGGCTGAACTCGGGTTTTGGTAGGGATCACTCAGGAAACAATTTCCTGGCCAATCAATAGCCTGGACTTCTCCAGAAAATAGGACAGGTGCATTCACACAAATACCTGCCTTTGGAGTCTGAGACTAAAAGAACAGCTTAGGGAAGGACTCTTAATAGACAGAATCTAATTTAACGCACTCATCAGAGGGGGAAACCGGATTGAGCGAGAAAGTGACTTCCCTGAAATGCAATGTCTAGTAGTCAAAGGAAAACAAGAAGAGGAAACATGAACAAACTGCGAGGAAATCCCCCAGTTTTTCTTCCTATGCAGACTCCTGCATCTATTATTAGACTATTCTCAGTTTCTGTCTGGCTCTCCCTGCCCATTTCTTCAGCATTTCTTGCATCTAGAGAAGTGCTTCTGAACTTCCATGTTTTGTGAGGTGCTTAGGGATTTCAGGAAAATGCAGATTCTGATTCAGCTCGCCTGGGGTGGGGCCTGAGATTCTGCATTTCCAGAGGCTGGGTGATGCTGTTGCTGCTTCATGGACGGCATGTTGAGTAGTGAGGGCTGAATTCCTCAGCCTATCTTGACTGGGGTGGCGGGAAACTCAATCAAGAGCGCTGTCTCCACCCTCTGATGTGACTTGGGATTGGGTCCTACCTCTGGGACCTGGTGGTTCAGGAATAAGACCTGGTGTATGTGTAGCCAGTGGGGCCCAAGGTCCACCCTCTGCCTCCTTTTTTGTTTACACATCAGATTGGGCTGCTGCCTGGGCCATGACCAGTGAACATCTGCCCAGTCTGGTCCAACAACCAGGATGCTTTGCCTCTGTCTCCTCCCGGGGCTCTGCTGAACTGGTCCTGACCCCACAGTGAAGAGGGTCTGGTAATGGTTGGAGTCTTGATGTGATTGCTCTGTTTTTCTCCACCTGTCTAGAGTCTACGACTTGGAACATCTCCTGTGGCTGAGAATTTCTTCGCTGTTATGTCAACCTGACATAATGGACCTCCTCTTGCTCTCCATCCTCACTTTTCATGTCTACATTAACAACCCCTAGAGGTGACGCCCCCTTTGGTGTCTTGGCCTGCAGTGCAATTGCCCTCAGAGGCATCAGCATCTCTTGCTGTTCTGCCTCGTTCTACCTTCTCTCTTCCACCCACCTATCCTGATTAGAAGGGCTTGGCAGCCTCTTGTCTGGGTCTACTTTTATTATGATAGGATGTCCTATGCTATGAAGGGCCAAATCCAGCTGAAAGGAGGCATCACTGAGAAATAAATGCCATTCAACACCAATGGAAAAATTTAAGCTGTGTCATAAATTTATCGATTGCAATATGTATTAATCTACATAACATAATTAATCTGCACATATGTTTTACTAACTTTAACAATGCTACCTCAGGAAAATGGGCCCCTTTTGTCATACTTCCCACTAGAAGAATTCATCCTATAGGCCTCCAGACACAATTGCTTTCTGTGGGGCTTAGATACAAAATCCTTAATTGTTTGATCTGGAAAGGATGAAAAGGATCTTTTAGCTTTAGCCCAAAGCGTCCATTTCCCAAATGGGAAAACTAAGGTCCAGAGTGGGTAACGTTAATGACTATGAAAACACGTAATGTTTATTGACAGTGTATTACGTACCAGGTACTGTTTGTCCCAAACTTTTTGAATACACACATTTATTTTAATCCTTACGACCCGTGAGGAGGGTATCATTATTATCCCCGTTTTGAAGAATGGAAACCAGTGTAGGAGCAATGAAGGGACCAGTCCAAGGTCACACAGCTGATTAGTGGTGGGATGGCACTCAGGCCCTGATCACTCCACCACAAATCTAGTACAGTCCTTTTACTTTTTTATAGACTTACCCCCCTGCAGTCTAGATTTCTCTTTCTGCTTGTGAATTCCATAGATGGACAGGATGGACAACTCTGATAATTCTTTCAGCTTAGTCATGGTGTCCTCTGTGGCCCAGGAGGGTAAAGTGAAATTGTGAACACTCTATAGCAAAGAAAAAGGGAAGAAAACGTGTATTTTTAAATGATTTTTTGTCCTCTTGGTCCCACAAGAACTACTGGGTCTAGTCTTATCCTGTTGTTTCTCTCTAGGATAACTTTATTTTTTTATTTTTTATTTATTTTTTTAAATATTTATTTATTTGACAGAGAGAGAGAGAGCACAAGCAGTGGGAGCGGGAGAGGGAGAAGCAGTCTCCCTGCTGAGCAGGGAGCCCCGATGCGGGACTCGATCCCGGGACCCTGGGATCATGACCTGAGCCGCAGGCAGACGCTTAACCAACTTGAGCCACCCAGGCGCCCCTAGGAAAACTATTTTGTGATAAGTAGTGGTATTGATTTTCAGAAGGGAAATTCACAGAGACTGATTTGCTCCTTCCTACCAAGTCCATAGCTTTTGGCTAAACTGTGGGAACAAAGGGGGATTCCTAATTTGCAGAGTAAGGGTGAGGTAGGGCAAGAATGTACCTCTTTCCTTTATGAAAGGTTTAGAGATCTATGAACCTGGGGGGAAGGTGACACAGACAGGGTTAGATGATGTTTCTGTCAAAGCTGAGTGAGTGCCCTTAGAGGACAGCTGGGAGAGGCAATGTATTTCTGGAGCCTTCAGTACCAGACCCTCCACTCCCATCAGCTTCTAGTTTACTGCCTTCTGGGGAATGTGCACTGTACACACAGTAGGATCTTGGTGAATACGTATTAAATGGATGAATAAGCTAGACAGCCGGACTGGTGTAGACTTCCTGCCAATATTTCTTACTTGCTATGAGAAGTTGATTAAGAATCCCCCAGATTCAAAGGTAGGATTGAGAGAGAGAGAGAGAGAGTACTTGAGAGAGGAGATCAAAGTGGAGTGCCTAGGGAGGAAATAAGTGGGAAAGAAGTGAAAAGGAAACCATGCACCACGGCCACATCATGCAACAGATCAACCTGTAGGTAAGGAAGAAAAAAAAGAAAATTAAGACTTGAACAAAAATATGGGCTCTTGTCTCTATTGAGAGTTTTTTTTTTTTTTAAGATTTGTTTATTTGGCGGGGGGGAGGGGGGCGGGTAGGGGCAGAGAAAGAGGAAGAAAATCCCAAGCAGGCTCCACACCCAGGGCAGAGCCCGACATGGGGCTCATCTCATAATCCTGAGATCATGACCTGAGCCTAAACCAAGCTTTGGATGCTTAACTGACTAGCCACCCAGGCGCCCCTCAAGAGTCTTTTATAAGGCTAATAAATCTTCCTTGAAACAGCTGTTAATGATAAAGTGAAAACAGGAGGTCATGTGAAGGTCAATAAACTGTATGGAGGGGGGGCAAATTGTATCGTTTGTTACTGACACGGAACCATGAAAATAATTGCTGGCCCCCAGGCCCTTATGATGACCTCAAGATCAGAGGTGGATATAAGTCCTGTGGGTGGTCAGAATTTTGCCCCAGGATTCAGGGAACCCAGTTGGGAAAACAGGATTACAGAGTACTCCTTTGGGCCAGTAGGTGGTGCATAGTGAGTGAAAAATACCAAGTAGCCTTGAAAACCCCAATGGTAACTGATGGAGCTTCAGAGGTTATTTCATATGCATGTATAGCAAGGAAGAGATTACCAATAAACCAATTTCAATAGCCTGGCTTAAAGTTGTCTTGCTTATTTCTATCCAGAAATCAGGTACCCACCCCCTTTTTTTTGGCTCTGTCTATATAACAACATTGCTTTTTTTCATTAAAATCCGTAACAGGAGCCCAGCATTCCTGAGTGACTGAAAAGTAAGTAAACGGCAAGACATAGAAGAAAAGCAATTTTGCCGGCAATTTTCGAAAGTGTGAAAACATAAATAATGGAGAGAAAAAGTTAGTTTTCAATTTAATGTAAAGAAGTCTTGAATTATGTTTCAATGTCAAAGGAAGCATAATTAATATATCTGCCAGAAAGTGTATTCATCTGTTTCAAAATAGCCATAAGTCAAAAAATCAGACTGCAAGTTAATTTTTGATATTTTTTTCTTTTACCTCACAAAATAAAGGGTCGTAGACTTTAGTCCACATTCCAAAAAGGTCCTGGGTATGGTATCCTGTGAATGTTGGCAAGGTTTCTATAAAATCCTGAAACACACATGGACAGAGAAAATATTTCTACATTAGAGTCACTCAATTTCAGCATTACTGATATATGGGGCTGGATAATTTTGTTGTGGAGGGTGCCCTGTCCTTTGTAGGGTGTTTGGCTGTATCCGTGTTCTCTACCCACCAGATGATGAGCATCATCCCTAATCCCTCAGTTGTAACAACCCAAAGTGTCTCCAAACATTGCCCGTGTTCTCCGTGGGGCAAATCTGCCCCCATTGAGAACACTGTTCTTCACATAAAAGTGCACCAGGAATATTGGCTGTGGTAATATGAACCCAAAGAATTTCACGAACACTAATTGATCATTTTTCATGATTACAGTAAAAATGTGGGTGGATGCTGGCTTACTGCCATGTATTCCTGGTTTGTCCCGGAATCAGGCCAAGTGTACTACCTCAAAATTTTTGGGGAAGTAGGTGAAGTAGAACTCACACATAAATGACTGATCAAGATGAGAAGGGAAACCATGTCTTAGGCCAAAGCACCTCAGGAATATACCACAGAAACTGGACCTGCTATCTGGCTATACATTTGAAATTTGGGTGGGATACAAACATTTCTCTAGGTTCTGTATTATTCTTGGATTGTCATGGTAATGAGACCCACTATTCAGCTATCTGCCTGATGAATTTGGCAGCAATTTCTGGGAATCCTTGTGGAAGATATTATTTAATGGATAAATTTTCTAGGAAAATATAATTTGCCAATTTAACCTAAACAGATATCCACAAAATAAATATAATTATTGAAGATCTTCCCCCAAACCAAGCCAAACCAAACCAAAGCCCCAGGGCCAGATGACTTTATGGAGAAATTCGACCAAGATTTTCAAGAGTAAATTATTCTAATGCTATTTTAACTGTTATAGAGTATAGGGAAAGAAAAAAAAAAAGAAAATTTCCAAAATATTTTTATTTTTATTATTTATTTACTTTTTAAAAAGATTTTATTTATTTATTCAGAAGAGACAGAGAGAGACAGGCAGAGGGAGAAGCAGGCTCCCCGCTGAGCAGGGAGCCCGATGCGGGATTCGATCCCAGGACTCCGGGATCATGACCTGAGCCGAAGGCAGACGCTTGACTGAGCCACCCAGGGGCCCTCCAAAATATTTTTATGAACTAAGGGCAACACAGACACTGACAAAATACTGGACAGAAAAGAAAACTATAGTCCAATGATACTTTGAATATGAATGCAAAAGGTCTGAGTAAAATATTAACAAATAATTCAATATCCAAAGGGGCTTGAGTCTAGACATGTAAAGATGGCTCATTAGTAGTAAATCTATGAATATAATTAATCTTAGTAATTGATCCAAGGAGAAAAATAACTTGATTATATATATTTTTTTAAAGATTTATTTATTTGAGAGAGAGAGCACTCACACACTGGGGGGAGGGGGGGGGGGAGGGGGAGAGAGGGAGAGAGGGAGAGAGGGAGAGAGGGAGAGAGGGAGAGAGAGAGAGAGAGAGAGAGAGAGAGAGAGAGAGAGAAGCAGACTCCCCGCTGAGCACGGAGCCCTACCTGGGGCTCAATCTTACAACCCTGAGATCATGACTTGAGCTGAAATCAAGAGTCGAATGCTTAACCGCCTAATCCACCAGGTGCTCCTTGATTGTATTTAAATAATGTCAAAAAGATTTTTCAAAAAATTAAACACTAGTATTGATAAAAACAATAAAAAATAGGAAAGATGGTTAGTTCCTTAACTTGGTATAAATATCTCTATTTGGTCCTAAAGCCAGCATGCTTAACAGAGAAACACTTCTAAAATAAAAAATAAGCTGAGGATGCCCACAGCCAGTACTGTTATGTCCTACTCTATTCTAAGTACTGGCCAGTGCAAATATGCAAAAGAAATCAGAGGTAAAAATATTGGAAAAGTTGAGGTAAGCCAAGGTTATTTGCAGATTATTATAAGCTTGGCACAAGTTTCAAGATAAATGTAAAGACCTATGTGAAGAAAACCTTAAAAAATTCTTGAACAAATAGGATAACGTACCAAGAAAGGAATACTCAACATCATAGATTTGTGAATTCTCCAAGTTAATTTATACATTTAATACGACCCCTAGAAACACTAGAAAGTAAAAAGAAAAGTTTTTGGAACTGAGACAAGCTGATTCTAAAATTCATAAAGAAGATAAAAATACAGCCATGAAAACTCAGAAAAGTAGAGAATGAGGGGTGATAAGCCTTTTAGATATTAAAGCATGTATAAAGTCTTACTAAGTACAACAGTGTAGTTTTGGCTAGTGAAATGAAAGAATAATTGAATAGAATAAAAATTCCAGGAACAGACCACATAAATAGAATTTAGGGGAATAAAAATAAATAAAAATAGGGGAATTTTAATATATTTAATAGGAAAAAGATGGACTATTCAATAAATAGTGATGGGGTTATTGGGTAATATGGGAAAACTTAAGCAGGATGCAAATTTTGCACCTAACCCCAGTATAAAAGGATCCAATATGTAAATGCAAACATGAAGATATAGTGGAATTAGAAGAAAACATTACAGACTTCCTTTGTAACCTAGGAATCGAGAAAGCTTCTCTAAATATGACTACAAATATACAAACCATACAGGAACACATCAGCACACTTAGGACTATGCCATGGCAAAAACACTATAACCAATATCAACAGACAAACAATAGAAACCATGCCATTCACGTTTGTGGAAAAAAATGTCAAAATATATTGAGAAAGCTCCTACAATGTATAGAAAAGAGGAAACCAATAATCCAAAGGATAAATGGTCAAGGGATAGGAAGACAACTGGAAATACAAAAGGCATTTAACTAGATAAAAATATCCCAAACTCACTCATCACAAGAGAAAAATATTACAGCACAATGCTTTATAATGGTGATGGTTCTGGGCTTCCTTGTCTTGTTGCCGATTTTAGAGGGGATGCTTCTAGTGGTACCGTTTTTTACTTACAGATTGGCAAGCATCCCCAAAGTTGTCTACACACTGTTGGCAAGGCTATAGAGAAACAGGCAATGCTGTGCATTGTTGATCGGGGCAGACATTAGTATAACCTCTTTGGAGGACAATTTGATAATATTTCATATTGTCCTAGAATTTCTACTTTTGGGATATTATTCCACAGATATTCTTGTGAAATTATTTAGATGCACAAGATACTCAGACAGACTGTAAATGATTGGAAATGACTCACTTGTCCATCAATATAGACTGGTTAAAGAAAGTATGGTACGTCCACGAATTCCAATGCGGTTATAAAAAATGAGGAAACTCTTTACGTACAGATTGAGTAGTATTTCTAAGATATATTGTTAAATGAAAAAAACCCAAAGTGTCCAACTCTGTGAATACAGTATACTACTTTTGTGTAGCAAAGGGGATACTACCAGAATATATTCATATTTATTTGCATATGCATAAAGAAACTGCAAGACTATATAAGAAAATGCTGCCACCAGTTACGTGTGGTGTCATTAAGAGAATTTCCACTGTATTCCTTTTTATATTTTTAAAATTTTTGAACCACGGAAATGTGTTAGAGATTCAAAATTTTGTTTTTTAAAAACACAAAGCATTGTATCTACTTTTTAAGCATCGTCTTAAGAAGGGGTATTTTGCAAAATGGAAACATAAAATAAGAAAGACTCACCTTTATATATGAAATCAATGGTACCAGACCCTCAGCCTCATTAGGGAAGATCATTTTAGCCTTGCATGTATTCTGACCCAGCCATGCACTTTCGTCTGGTTCCTTCTGGCATGCGGGTATAGGATTAGAAAGGGACTGGCTTCTTTACCGGCTTGTGGACCCACGCAGGGAAGGGGACCAGACAGTGATGACTGACCGTCATTAAACGTTTTAACCCACTGCTCTACCTGGCCACTGGCAGACACATTTCTCCCACACTTTTAAGAAGCTGGAGCTTCATCCTTTGTCTTGGCCCTCACCCTCCTGTGCACCACTAAATGACGTGATTTTTAACCTTGTAAGGATGTAACCTCTCCTGGAATTCCGTCGATTTGAGAGTCTCCTCCTTAAGTTCTTTAAAGCGAGGGCAGTCCTGGAAAGGCAGGTACAGCAACTGAGAACAAAAGAAAAACCACAAATTCTTTATTAGTCAGAAGAACTTTACTAAAGAAGCTGCAGCCATATTTTAAGCCTCATTAGGGGCAAAGTGATCTGAATAAAAGATTCACATGTGTTTTGAGCTGAATGGAAATTCTAAAATTGAGGAAAAAGAGATAAATGGTCTGTAGGTCTTACATAGTAGGATATGCACCCAGAACTGAAAAGCCTTTTTTTTTTTTTTCCCTTTCATGAACTTGCCTAAATAGGACTGTGTTGTTGGTAAATATTCACACTTCCTGGTTTTCCATGTTGATATAACTATTATTTCGATTCCTACTGGACCTCTTACATTTCTAGCATGAGATACACATGTGTGTGCAAAGTCATCCTGCCCCTCCACTCCATGCACACGAGTATAGAGAAATGAGTAAGAGGCTCTGGAGAGAGATTGATTAACCATTCACTGACTTAAGTTCCAGTCAAAATAAGGGCATTATTATTAATTAATAATAATATCATTATTAAAACCCATTATGAGGACAAAGGGGTGAGTTTAAATTGGACAATCCTCATCCTCTGTAACCTCATGTCTAGGTTGGTGACTCCTCAGCTTATTTTGTTGCTCTGACTTTTCATTTGTGGCTGGTCTTCTCTTTCCAGCCCTTAGTGGACATCACTTCTTGGAGGTTTCTTTGCTTCCTCAAGTTTAACATGTACAAAACTGAAGTCAACTTCATTTGTAACCATTTTGCCTTTGTAATCTATTTACTTTGGCCAATGGTAAAATTTATCACCCTGCTTCATAGACTAATCAGTTTTGCTTGTTTACTTTCAAAATATATCCAAAATAGACTCCTCTTCATCATATTCATTGTTCCCTTCCAGTCCAAACCATCATAACCTGTGTTTCGACTAATGAAAGAGCCTCCTGTCTGGTCAGTAGGCATCCATCCGTTCTTTCCATCTTTACAATTCATTCTCCATACCACAGCTACCCTAATCCTTTTTGTTTTATTTTTATAAATACAAATCTTTTTAAAGCATTAATCAGATCATGCCATTTTGTAGTTTATAACCTTCACTGGCTTTCATCTTACTTGGAATAAAATCCAAACTCAGTTAACCCTAGAGATCTCTGCCCTGCTTTCCTGCTACTACCCCCTTATTCTTCTCCAGCAACACAGGGGCCTCCTTGTCGTTCCCTGAACTCACAGGCTTGGGGGCTCTGCAGACTGTTCCCTGCCCGAGACCTTGCCCCTGGTGACTCCTGCCAGGCTCTTCTAACTCAGCCCCAGCCATGATCACATTAACTTGCTTTATTTCCTTTGGGGAACTCATCACCATTTGAGATTATTACTATTTTTTACTTTATCATCTGTTTCCTATAAAATGTCATCTCAAAGACAGCCAGGATCTTGTCTGTCTTATCCATTGCTGTGTTGTCAGTGCCTAGAACAGAGCCTGGCATATTTGTAGCTGCTCAGAAAACTTTTTCAAAATAAGTTGCTTCCTGGGGCACCTGGGTGGCTCAGTGGGTTAAGCGTCTGCCTTTGGCTCAGATCATGATCCTGGGGTCCTGGGATCAAGCTCTGCATCCGGCTCCCTGCTCAGTGGGAAGTCTGCTTCTCCCTCTGCCCCTTCCCCCCCACTCATACTCTCTCTCTCTCTCAAATAAATAAAATCTTAAAAAAAATAAAAATAAGTTGCTTCCTGATTCTGTCATTTGCCTTACTTTGCTTTCCTTCCTCTCGTGTCTTTACCATCTAATTTCAAACCTTCATTTCCTCATTCCTGAATGGCTTCCACAGGTATTCTCCGAGGTTCCAGTCAGTATCCTTTCCTTCCAAACCGTGGTCGGACAGATGCCTCGGAGCACGGCTCATCATGCGTGCACAGTACTGAGGAACGAATGTGCATAGGTTCTTTTTATGTCCACGGCTTTATAGCTCAATTTCCCTGCATGGCCTTCCAACTTTCCTACCGAAGGAACGGCACTGCGGAGGAATAGGCTTGGGACTCTCCATTTAAAGGTCTAGGTTTTAGTGAATGACTCAGCCTTGCTGGACTTTTGTTTTCCCATCCCACATCTTGAAAGAGGCTGAAAATAAGTGGGATAATCATCTAAATATTTGACCAGCATTTTGCAATTCACAAAAGCTCTTCCATTTCTTAACCAGGTTTTCACAAGTCGTCCTGAAATATTTAGTTTCTCCTGTCTGTGCCCAACATAGACATTTTCATTCCTTCTAAATAAGAGCTCTGGACACAGAAGGGCAAGCCCTCTATATATTCACCCACTGCCATGCTTTTGGGCTGCTTTCTTCTCCTTTCCTTCCCCGTTCCGAGGTCTTGTTCAAGCTCTCGCTCTCTCCGTGAAGACCGGAATGGCTGCCTGTGGTAGAGCCACGGGCGTCCTTCTGCGAGGCCCTCTCGCAGGTGCAGCTTGTCCTTGCTTCATCGCCCACCACTTCGTATCGTGGTCTACACGCGTCACACATGCAAATCTGTTTTCATCAAATGGATGATGAATTAGGGAAGAAACCTGGCCTCGTGTTTCTCTACAGCACTTAGCACAGCTCTGGGAATAACTGTGTGTTGACTGATGGGTGTTTGTTAGGTTTCTTAGCTGATGTTAAAACTGTTTTTATCTTAGGGAGGACATAGCTGGAAGCCATGGGTAGATAATCTTGCTTCTCTCTTCCTCATTCTCCTTTGTTTCTCTTTTCCTTTTTTTTTTTTAAAGGTTTTATTGATTTATTTGACAGAGAGCGTGCACGAACAGGGGAGAGGAGCAGAAGCAGAGGGAGAAGCAGGCTCCCCGTTGAGCAGGCTTGACCCCAGGACCCCAAGATCATGACCTGACCCCGAAGGCAGACGCTTAACTGACTGAGCTACGCAGGCGCCCCTCTCTTTTCCTCTTCTGATAGCTCCTATAGTCTCTTTCCTACATAATTTTATTACTATCTTTCGGGATTAAGGGTTAAATATCTATCTTGGTCTACACCGGCTAAATTTGGTGCTGCTGTCCATGTCTATCTATGCAGAAAAGGCTGTGGCAAAAGCGATTTTTTTTTCTTTTGGAAGAAGATATTCGCAAACTCCTAGGAATACTGATCATCATAATACTTTTCTCTTGATTCTGTGAAGGAAAGAGGTACAAATAAATCATCCTGTCTTTTCAGGAAACATCAGGAAAAGTGGTTGGAGTAGACTTACCTAGAGTGAGGTTGACAGGGTCAGGCTGTTTCTACAAAGTATTTGGGAAAGATTCTTACGTCATCAGATGCAACAGTTAAGTCAAATGTCTAGGAGTATTGGCAGGGCAAAGAGGTTGGAAGCCTACCCCAGGGGCCCCTGAGCAACAGTCCAAGTGCAAAAGTCATGCTCAGCCTCAGGTACCAAGAGATGACATGGTCATGCTTACAGTGGGACTGCAGGGGAATCAGCACGGATTCCTTGTCCCAAAACATTCCCTTCAAATAGTCTTTTTTTTTTCTTTTAATTTTTATTTTTTAGAAGGGGGAGGAGCAGAGGGAGAGGGAGACAGAGAAACTTAAGCAGGCTCCATGCCCAGCATCAGAGCCTGAAGCGGGGCTTGATCTCACAACCCTGAGATCATGAGCCAAGCTGAAATCAAGAGTCGGATACCCAACCGACTGCGTCACCCAGGTGCCCCTCCTTCATATAGTCTTAAATTCCACACCTGGGAGATTAGTTAGATTTATTTAATACTATTTAAAACCAAAAGCAATTCCTCTGAAAATATTAAAGAGCTTTTGGTGCATCCTACCCAGTGCAAAATAGATTTGAGAGTTTCTCTCAAATAGCCTCATTCAGGCAGCTTGGCTTACGGTACTGGTTCTCACACATGGCTGTCCACTAGAATCATCCAGGGGGATTATTTTAAAAGTACTATGCCTGCAACCCACCCTCAGAGATCCCGATTTGTTATAGAGAGTACCCTAAGTGCCAGGATTTAAAAAATTTTTTTTTCAGGTAATTCTAATATAATAACTTTGAGAACCACTAGTTTATAGGGAAGGAAATTGCCCTGGAATGAGATAGGCCTGGTTCTAGTCCCAGTAGCGATGCTTACCAGCTCTGCAGCACTGGGCCTATTTTGTTTCTTTCTCTGAGCACATATGTCCCTGGCTATAAAAGGAGAACAGTAATATTGTCCATTGAAGGTTGTTATGAAAGGTAAATATGGCACATATCAAAGTGCTGGTCACTGACTATGCACTCAAATCTTTCTTTTTTCCCCTACCTCAGAATGGGGGTTTTCATGTGGGGAGGGGTATTTTGTAGGTAGAGAGGTCTTAGAATATTCTGGAGGGAGGAGAACCCTATGTGGGGCACCAAAAGCCTGGGAATTTAAAGTAGAACAAGGGGAACTCTGTGTGTGTGTGTGTGTGTGTGTGTACACGTGAAGCTGGATAGGGGCAAATTGCCATTTTTTAAAAAAGATTTATTTATTTATTTTAGAGAGAGAGAGAGTGAGCATGTGGTGGGGAAGGGCAGAGGGACAAGGAGAGAGAAACTCAAGCGGACTTGGCGTTGAGCGTGGAGCAAAAGAGCCCGATGTGGGGCTCGATCCCATTACTGGGAGATCACGACCTGAGCCAAACCAAGAGTTGTCCACTTAATTGACTGTACCACCCAGGTGCCCCCATGTTGCCATTTGTTGAAAGGGTGGCAAAACAAAGTGGATGATAAAGGTCCAAACTGAAATTCTGTTCCTACTCTCTCTTGCCTGGGGCTTCTTATGTCCTACTTTGTCCTTCACAGCTTTATTTAGAAAAGGATTCAGATTTCACAGACCAAGCAGTCTCCAGACCTCCAAACTCACAAGTACTGGGCAACCTGCCTTCCTCCTCCTAGGCCAAATAGGAGGTTTTTGCAGAATACTCACCCGATCTTCAGAAAGAGAGAGTGTGTGCACTGGGATGGGCTGCCAGCGTAGGCTGGGATTCCAGATGTCGATACCCTCTGGGGGAAATAGGCCTGCAAGGTTTGTCATAGCACTCATCAAAGTCCTATCAACGTCCGTACTTTGAATATAAACCTAGAGTGGGAAAATCAAAGGAGATTCCAACTAATTGGAACTGTGCATTTTTCCCTGTGGAGCAAAGAGTACATTTGAGAAAGGCCAGGACCCTCACATGAAAACATTAGCAAACATTGTGGTAGCATCATGATCATAATATCTACTATAGAAGAGACAGTATTATGAGAATGCCACCTGGTATGTCAATAGTTGAATTGACAAAGAGACCAATTAAGTGGTGGCTAATCGCCAAGCCAAAATATTTGCCATAGGGGTCCATAAAATTTTGCACTTAGTCATATTCATAAATTTTTTAGGAACAAAGTATTTGTATAGAGAGGAGTACATTTAGGGTGCCTGGGTGGCTCAGTTGGTTAAATTACTGCCTTCGGCTCAGGTCATGATCCCAGGGTCCTTGGATAGAGCCCTGCATCAGGCTTCCTGCTTGGTGGGGAGTCTACTTCTCCCTCTCCCTCTGCCCCTCCCCCTCACTCATGCTCTCATTCTCTCTCTCTCTCGAATAAACAAACAAAATCTTTAAAAAAAAGAGGAGTATGTTTGTAAATAAGATCTCTGACTTGTGTAAGTTCTTTGGGAAACTGGAAAAGCACTTTTACAAAAGCAACATTTTGTTAAATTCTTTCAAGGAAATAGGTTCCCACTCTTGGCTCCCCAACTTGCCTGTTCATGTTTGTAGGACTCATTCAAAAATTTTCTATATCTTTTCCTTATATACTGTCCAAGTTCATAATGCTGTTCCATGCCCAGCTATGGGAACAAATAAAAGCAAAAATCAGTGAAAGTAAATTCTGTGCATTTCATGTATGAGTCGCATCTCTCCTTATTGAATGTGTAGAGCAAACCATGGTGTAATTTAATAGTTCCACAACAACATACTTTTAAATGAAAACAAGAAAAGAGAGTTGTAATCTTTAGCCATGACTCCTTGAGAAAACTCATGCACCTTCATTAGCACTTAACATAGAGCTTTGCACAGTTAATAGCTGGTGATTGATCTGATTTAAGTAAATGGTTCATCTCTGGTGTGGTAGAACATCACTGGCTCATCTTTGTTGGTGAAACATTCAAGAGAGCTGGTTGACCACTTGGTGGAGGTTTTGTGGAAGAAATTCAACCATCTGATAACGGGTTGGACTTGATGAATCTGCAGATCACTTTCAACCTCTGGGTATAATGATTTATTATCTGCACAGTTTATTTATGCCTGGTTCCTGAAAAACTAGAGTCTGTTACCCAAAGTGTGGTCTGGGAATCAGCAGTATTAGGATCACTTGGGAGTATGTTAGAAACCAAAGTCTTAGGCCCCATCTTGACCTTCTGAGCCAGAATTTTTGGCAGGGAGTGGAGCTCAGGAACCCCTTTTTAACAAGTTTATTAAGATTCTGATGGCCAGTAATCACTGAGAAATATTGCTTTAGTTCAGTGATCCTCAACCATTACTGTGCATCAGAAGCAAAATTACCTAGGGATGCTTGTTGAAATGCAGATGCCTCAGCATTTCCCCCAGAGATTTCCTGCTTGTTAGATCCCAGTGTGGCCCTGGAATCTGCATTTTAACAAGGGCCCCGAGTGATTCAGATCCTTGCAGGAGAGTGCCATGCTTTGAGAAACACTGCCTTCAAGTCTGTCTTTAATCCCAAGTTTTATTAGGACTTCAGGAGTCAGAGAGGATGTGGTCCCTATAACCTCTGCTTGGTCCGACTCCTTCCTTTGCTTGTATTCCTGGCTACCATGATCATCACCACCCCCCTAGGATAGGGAAGGAGGTGGGGAAAGAGTAATGTGTGCTTTGAGTTTTGCTAGTTTCCTGGATGACATGGGTAGCTAAAGAAGCAGGTACTTTGGGCCTAATTTGTTATACTAACTTACAGCTGAATTTTAAAGAGTCATCTTCTATAGAGCAGTGGTTTTCAAATGTCAGCATGCACAGAATCACCTGGAGGATTCATTAAAATAAGGTTCCCAGAAATGAAGCCCAGAGTTTCTGGTTCAGTGGGGAGGGCCAGACAATTTACATTTCTGACAAGTTTCCAAGTAATGGTGATGTTGCCTGTCCAGGGACCACACTTTGAGAACCACTGACCTAGAAAGCCATTACCTTGTCATTATGTAGCTTGCAAGTACCTGGCCAAGGGCAGGAATTTGAGCTCTAGAACCTTGTGACTTCAAGAGAGGCCATGTACCAGCATTACTGGCTTCACCTTGGAGTATATTAGAAATAAAGACTCTTAGGCCTATGTCAGACCTGCTGAATTAGAATCTGCATTTTTTCTTTTTTCCCCAAGTCTTATTGAGATATAATTCACATACATCACTGTATAAGTTTAAGATATACAGCATACAGTTTGGTACACACACACACACACACACACACACACACACACCATAATGGAATATTATTTAGCCATAAAAAATGATAAAATCCTGCTGTTTATGACAACATCGATAAACACTGAGGACATTATGCTAAATAATATAAATAATATAAGCCAGAGAAAGACAAATACTATATGATCTCATTTATATGTAAAATCTAAAAAAAATTTTAAAAACCAAACTCCTAGAAAAAGGGATCAGATTTGTGGTTACCAGAGGCAGGGGATGGGGGGAAGAGGATTGGGGAAAAGGTGGTCAAAAGGTACAAACTTCCAGTTGCAAGGTAAATAAGTAGTAGGGATTTAATGTACAGTGTAACGACTATGGATAAAATAGCTCTATAATACATATGAAAGTTGTTAAGAGGGTAAATCCCAAGAGTTCTCATCCCAAGGAAAAATATTTTTTTTTTTTTGCTTTCTCATTTTATTGTATCTCTATGAAATGACAGATGTTAACTAAATTTATAACAGTGATCATTTCACAATATACGTTCTCTTGTTTAAGGAGCTGAAAGCTGGGTAGGAGTGAGGTATGGTGGGAGGAGCTCTGACCGGGGAGCCAAAAGACGCTGACCTCAAACAGCCTCTGTGGGATTTCTCCTCTATGAAACATTGTGGTCGAATTAGGGAAGTGATTCTCAGACTTGGCTGCACATTAGAGTCAACTGATCAACTGAGGAGTTTCTAAAAATCCCAATGTCCAGGTCGTACCCTAGATGAATTAAATAAGAACCTCTGTCTGGGGGGCAGACAGACATCGATATTTTTTAAAGCTCTCCAAATAATTTCAATGTTTAGCCAAGACTGAGACCCATTGGTTTAAATGCTTAGTTAAATGTTTGGAGACATTCAACTCTAAACATTCTATGACATTTTCTTAATGTATTTAAACATTGCTTTGGTCGGGACAGAAGCAACACACGTGGTCTCTGGCTCCAAACAGAACAGCCATCCACTCTTGCAAGAGAAGGGGGTGGGGCACGGGGGCAGTGACTACAGGTGCCTCTGTCCCCCACCCAACCCCGCTTTCACCTTCTCCTTTAGGAAGTAGGGCTCCCTATGTTTAAGACCACTTATAAGAAGGCCTCAATCCCAGTATATCCAGCTGATTAAAAATAAAATTTGATATCAGCACTTCCAGAGGAATCCTGTTTTCCCAACCCTGCTGATTCAGTTTATCGATTATAAGATTATTTTCTACTTCCTCAGGAGGAGGCTGAGAAACTCAAGGGGCAGGCTTCCAAGTATCTCTTGGCTCTCCTCAGCATCTTTAAGCTCATGTATTCATCTGTTGCCATGCACAGCTCTTAGGCTTTAATAAAGCCAAACAGGGCAAAAAAAGATCGAAACGGGCAATTTTATACAATTTTCCTACAGTTACTAGTCACTAGGGGTGACTTGGTCATGATCAGAAATTATCGAAGTTAACCATTGTGCCTCGCCTTTCACAATCAAAACACATTTTCAACTTTTAGTTCCTAGTAACTGAAGTGGTTATATGGTTTCAATGTATTACAAACTCCACATAGTTTCCCTTAAGACTCATCAGCAAACTTTAGCTGAAAATCCAACCAACCTGAGTGAGTTGGCCAAATCCTTGTGGCCATGAGGATTCCTTAATGGGGTCGTTAGGAAAGGTTTCAATGGGACTTCGGTCTCCATGCCTAAATACCTGAAAACAGATCAAGACAGTAACATTACAAATTTCATTTAGGTGTTTTGCCTCAGCTCATCCTAACAGATTTTCTTCTAAACCACTGGTTTTCAACCTTGGGATGTGGCCAGGGCATCAGGATTTTAAAGACATCCCCAGGTAAGGGGCGCCTGGGTGGCTCATTCGGTTAAGGGTCTGCCTTCAGCTCAGGTCATGATCTCAGGACCCTGGGATTGAGTCCTGCATTGGGTTCCCTGCTCAGCGGGGAGAGTGCTTCTCCCTCTCCATCCGCCATCCCCCCTGCTTATGCTCTCTCGCTCTCACTCTCTCTCTCAAATAAATAAAAGAATCTTAAAAAAAAAAAAAAAGACCTCCCCAGGTAAATCTCAGGTTAAGAAGCGCTGTTTTAAGCTCACTAACACTTTCTTGTGTTTCAGGTAATGTAAGTAACAAGATGGTCAGTCATTAGAAAGCAGGAGAGTCACTCATGGAGACTGGTTTGTATATTGGGGCAAGGAGGAACACAAAGCTTAGCAAGATCACTTTATTGCAGACACTGATGAGAAGTAATCTTCCTTAATTATGGTGTTAAAATTTTTACATATGATGAAATAGTAGATTTAAATGCCACATATAATTTGTGACCATCTTGAGCCAATGATTAGTTTTTAGATTAGAGATAAAGGACTTATGGAGAGGGAGATTAGAAAAGCTAATTTTTAATACTTTAAGCACATACCTCTGAATTTGTATGCATGTCATGCTATTTTGACTGCACATTTTCCTCTTTAGGGAGAGTAGTTTGGATTTTCAAAACCTTGGTATTTTATGACTCCAATGTGCTTTCTGAATAAAATACCAAGCTAAATACAAAGCTATTTTATAAGCAAAAGATAAGACATGAAAAACACTCAAGAAATCCAAGATGACGTCTATACTGATGCCAGCAAACATTTTTAATACAGAGGAGGGCCACATAACACCTTGCATTATTTGAGATTTCCTGCACTTGTCATTGACACTACCTGGCTAAGATGCTCCAGTAGACACGGAATAAGGAACAGTCCTAAATGTTGACCATCTTTCAGATGGGATTCCAAGAAAGTGAGAGAGGCTTATAGGACCTGGGCTGTGTCTCTGGTGTCTAAAGAAAACTTATCTTTTGGTCCCCTAAACTGGTGAGAAATAAAAATCGCAGTAGAACAGGCTATAGCAAACAGAGACCATGGCGTAGTTGATCTTAGGAAATCATTTTGGTCAGGTAAGAAACTGCTGTTATGAATGGTCCCTTCATGGCTGGAAGAAAGGCTGCATAATTTCAGAAATTATCAAGGCTAATCATTAGTGCTCTTTCTTTTTTTTAAAAGATTTTTATTTATTTATTAGGGAGAGCAAGAGAGAGAGCACAAGTGTGTGTGTGGGGGGCAGACCGAGAGGGAGAAGCAGGCTCCCCACTGAGCAGGGAGCCTGATGCGGGGGGCTCGATCCCAGGACCCTGGGATCATGACCTGAGCCGAAGGCAGACACCAACTGAGCCACCCAGGCGCCCCTCATTAGTGCTCTTTCTATAATCCAAACATATTTTTGACTTTTTAGATCCTAGGTAATTGTGCAAAATACCTTCCTAGATCTGAGTAACTAAAATTGTTATGTGGTTTCAGTAGATTATAAATCCTACAATGTTTAGTTTCCAGGGCTTCTCAACCTCAGCACTGTTGACATTTTGGGCTGGATAATTCCTTGTGAGGGGCTATCCTGTCCACTGAAGAATGTTTAGCCGTGTGCCTGGCCTTTGCGCACTAGATGCCAGGAGCAGTCCCTAACTGTGACAACCAAAAAGTTCTCCAGACACTGCCAAATGTGCCGTCGGGGGGCAAAATCATCTCTGGTTGAGAACTCCTGAGTTAGCCAAAGGGAAGTCAGATGAGAGTCATTGTAGCAAAATAATTTACAACACTTCCTACCAGCCTATAACCACAATAACTCCTCAAGGTTTTTTGAATGCTTGCTGTGTCCCAAAAACTGTGCTAAATGCTTCTCATAATTTAATCCATTCATCAGTTCTCCAAAGCATTTACAATTATTATCTTCATTTCACAAACAAGGAAATCAGCCCTAGTTAAGTGACCTCCCCAAGGTCACACAGCGTGTAAGTGGCACAGCAGAGATCCAAACACAAACCGTGTGCCTTCAATGCCAGCATTCTTAACCCGTGTAAGGGGCTCATTTCTCTGCTAAAACGCACCGCTCAGCATCCCACCACCAGTGGGTGATCTGGGATCTGGGGCTTCTTTATAAACTCCGGTCTTTTCCTCTGAGATTGGAAGCTCTGTGTGTTGTGGGGGGAGGGGGCGGTGTTGCACTAGAGGAAAACCTTGATGTAAGAAACAATTCCAAATCCTATTTAAAAAATAAAACTGAGATTATGCATCTAGATGACGGTATAGCCTGGGGAGAAAAATAAGCATGGTTCCCTTAGAGGAGGGTTATTTAAACAGCAGAGCCCTGGAACACAATCACAGGTTTGAACAAGGTTTCTTACTCTGTCCTTACAGGTCAGGAATAATTGTACTCCCCTATATTGTAGTAGGTTTTAAGGGTTTTTGAGGTAGTGACTCACACATGCTGTGAGCTCTTCAGAAGGGGCGTCTCCCAGAGAATTAATAAACCATCCCTTCCCTGCCCCCGGATGCTGGAAATCAATATGTGTGCGGGTGCATGTGCCCGCGTGCGTATCAGTTAGTGCCCTCAAATGCACATGTGCCATTCTTGAGCTCCTGGAGTTTCAGCTGGAGCCTTTGGACTGTGCCTCTGTGCTCTTTTAAGCCTGTGGTAAGGCAAACTTCTTAACTGCAGCTCTGCTGAATTTATAACTTCTGTTCTCAGTCCTGCAATCATACTCTATGAAATCCTTTAGAAACCTAAATATATAGGGTCAGCCCTAGGACTATTTTGCAGGCCTGGTGGTAATTGCAATAGGAAGACATCCAGGAGAACAACCCCTTACGTGGGTGCAACCCTCCACGTTTTGTACAGTCTTTTCCCTGCTCACTCTTTCAATTCTCACAACTCCGGTGAGGCCAGGCTGGCCCTATTGCTGTCCTGAACAAAGAAGGAAACTGAGGTTCAAAGAGATTGAATGAGCCGTCCAGATCTCCTAGTTTTCATGATTGCTACCCACTGTTTTCCCCACCACATCACATTCACTTCATCCTTTTAGATCACAGGTAACTTTTTTTAAAAAAAAGAGCCAGGTTTGGTACCCCCATGAATGATCCTTCTCCATCAAGTCGGCTGAGCAGATTCGGCGTGTTACATCATCCTACCTGATCTGGCCCTGCCCACCTCGATGTTACTACCTTATGGTCTTGCTAAACACACTTAGCCATAGAGCCCCTGCTCTTCCATCAATACATTGTTCTAGCTTCAGGGCGGTGATGTTCTCCCCGTGGAGGTTAGGTGTACAGACTTAACGCATCATCAGTAGGTAGTTTCCTCACTGTTTCTCTGTGATCCAAGGATAATAAATCTTTCCCACTTCTGAAAAGCTGTTCTTGGCAGCAAGAGGAGGCAACTGTCCTTGGTTCTTCCTTGCCTGTAATGTCCTACTTCTACTTCTAATCCTGGAGGTCACTAAATTCAGGTCCCTCCTGAAAAAGGCGACGAAGAGAGGTCTCTCTCCCTTGACCTCCCATACTCACCATACTTATTAGTGTCTCTCTAAAAAGTTAGATATAATGATTCTCTAAGGGTTTTCTAATGGGACACTCTGGAAAAAGAAGGAGGTGGATTCTGTGGTCAAAGTTTAGGAAATATAGTTTACTACTAGATCCTTTCCTTTAAAGCTACAGCACATATTAAAATATTATTTTTTTAAAAGATTTTATTTATTTATTTGAGAGAGAGCAAGAGAGTGAGAGAGAGAGCGTGAGTGGAGGGGCAGAGGAAGAGGGAGAAGCAGACTCTCCACTGAGCAGGGAGCCCTATGTGGGACTCGATCCCAGGACTACAGGATCATGACCTGAGCCGAAGGCAGACACTTAACCTACTGAGCCACCCAGGTGCCCACACATATTAGAATATTAAAGACTGAGGAGTCCTGCCCTTTAGAGACCTGAAATACAGTGTAACCCTTGTTCTGTTCCCAAAACTGATTTGACTATCGAAACCCATTTTTTTAACCAAGCATCTCCTGTTAACAACTTGTCAAACTAGTATTCCGTGGGACACATGTTGATAAACCTGTTTTAAAAGATTGTGTGATAACTCTGTTCATGAGACAGAACAAGAACCAAGGACAGTTTCCTCCTCTTGCTGCCAAGAACAGCTTTTCAGAAGTGGGAAAGATTTATTATTCTTGGATCACAGAGAAACAGTGAGGAAACTACCTACTGATGATGCGTTAAGTCTGTACACCTAACCTCCACGGGGAGATCTCAGCTCCATATGCTGGCTTAAATGCACACAGCAGGAATGGAATATGTGTAGTGATTAGGGGCATAGCCTTTTCGATCATACAGCCTGGATTCAAATCCTGACTACACCACGGTTACTGTGTAACTATGGCCAAGTTGTTTAACCTCTTTGTGTCTCAATTTCTTTATCTATAAAATAGAGATAGTAAGGTTTTTATAAAACTTTATAGAACAGTTGCCAGATGTAGCAAACCAAACTACAGGATGCCCAAATATTGCACGAAACATGCTTTATGCTATAAAATTATTTGTTGTTTATGCAAAATTCAAATTTAACTGGGTATCCTACTTTACAGGGTTGTTGAGAGGATACTGTGACATATTCCATATCGAACTCTCAGAACAATGCCTGGCATATAATAAGCATTGAGTAATGATTGGTTATTGTTACAAATGTTACCACTTTGAGCAGAGGCACCTTTCTTTTATTCCGGTTCTAATGATTTTCTAAGTATTTGCCTGGGCATATAATTTAACCATTTATAGTCATATATTCCCCATAATCAATAAAAAGAAGAAAATAGTATCTCATTGCATAAGTCCTTAGATAGATATTGTTTTGGAAGGGCCAAGAAAGTTGTATTAAGTCGCCCTTCATCTACCATTAATGGAAGAAAGCCTTGGTAGGAAAAATTAACATTAGCCTTGTGTGATAAATATTATTTATTCCTTTTAGCTCCAGGAGAGCTATCTTTGTAAGGTTTTCTTTTCTTTTTTTAAAGATATTATTTATTTATTTGTCAGAGAGAGAGAGAGAGAGAGCACAAGCAGGGGGAGCGGCAGGCAGAGGGAGAAGCAGGCAGCCCGATGCAGGGCTCGATCCCAAGACCCCGGGATCATGACCTGAGCAGAAGGAAGACGCTTAACCGGCTGAGCCACCCAGGCGCCCCTGTCAGGTTTTTCTTAGGGAAGAATTAACTTGTAGTCCCTGAACACATGGTAACTGAGCGTGAAGGGAGAGAAAGGAAGCCCACAACAGTTTGGTAGTCGAGGGAAGTGAGCCTGCGCTGGAGTAAAACAGGGAGCGAATCGACCACATGCGGTTAACTGCAAGTTCATGGTAGTATTTCAGAGAGGATTACCTCTCAACCAACTTGCCACAGACTGACAGTGTTGACAGTGCCGTTTCCGTGGCGTCCCCACACTTGCTTAATGCACATGTTGGCAAGGAACCCATGAATATAAGTAAAAGTCCAACTTGCACGGATTTCTCTACAGAAGGTACATGATATGACACACTTTTTTTTTCAGCACCGAAGTCTGACAGCTGGTAAATCATTCGTAAATAAATTGATACGTTTCTCTGATTCTCTCTCCTGTGTTGACTTAGGACCTAGTAAATATAATTTGCATAATCATATGGTCAGAAATTTGTTTCTGTAGAAGGGAAAGAAAGGAGTTCTGAATACACTAAGCTGAGGAAATAGGAACTTCATGTTTGATTTTTAGGTAAAAGATGACCTCCCTGCAAATTATAGAAATAAATTTTGAGTATTCTTACAGTAAGAAAATTTACTTATTTGTCAGCATATTTTCAGTCTATCAAATAAAAAAAGGTGAGGAAGAGAAAGAGATTGAGAGAGCGGATGTGAAAGACAAAGAGAGGGTCAGAGGCGGAGGGAGACTGAGTGAAACAGAGAAAATCACAGAGAAACCGAGGGATTAATCCCAGGACTCATACAGATAAAGTGATAAATCCCCTTCACTTTGCAAACCCCCTTCCTACCTATTTTGAAGACAACGTCAACAGTATATTTTCTTTCCTTAACCTCTCGCACCAGCCACCCCTCTTTTCCCATAACTTGTTACACTGCCCCGGGGGAGAAAAACATTATTTTAATGATCAACCAAATATCAGGAAGTCCTCGAAATCTCGAATTTAGTTTCACTTTTATGCTTCAAAGACTGTTTACAAATATAGTTTCCAATTTCCTGATAAAAAAAGGGGGGGGGAAGGGGCTACTTCATGCAGAAGATGACTGTTTTTAAATAATCATTACACTGAATGAAGCCTGCTTAGCTCCTGGTGCTAACGTGGCTAGCTGAGGCTTCCCCCCCAGCATCGCGTGGCTATCAGAAGGAAATGCACTCAAGGCAGCTGTGAAGTAAGTGAATAAATAAATAATAGCAGCAAAGGCACAAATAACCAAAGCAAACACTTTTTGTCAGGACACGATAAGCATTCGTTAGGAGGAACTTGCGAAACTTGATGATTCACTTTCTGAGTTTGGTCTCTGGGAGACAGCACTAGGGGGTAAAGTGAAACCTGATACTTGGGTATCAGACCTTGCTGGTAACAGTTTTAAGGGAAAAACAATAGAAAAGCCTACTCACCAACGTCACAAACTTCAGCTCCTTAGCTACCGCACCTCGGCCTACCCCGGAGAGCAGAAGCAAGCAGCTAAGGCAAAGGTTTGTTGCCCTGGCCACGGGGAGCAGGGCAGGCCTCATGCTGGGGAGTGCTGTCTCGGGCAGCAGTTTGGAGGTGCTGTTTCCAGAGCAAAAGCCATTAGAGGGGAAGCTATTTAACAAAGGATTGAAAGGGAAGGAGTCACTGGGAGGAGTCAGACTCAGAAGTAGTAAGATCACCAGGTAGTTTGGGGCGGGGTTTGGCGTGTCCGGTCAGATAATTTGGGGGCTGGATGTGAGAGAGCACAATCTTCTGGATTTAAGGTAGAACACTGAGCTCCAGGGAGGGGAAAGCTGTTGCTCAAGGTCGCGGAGCATGTTAGGAGATTTTTTTTTTTTTTTTAAGTTTACCATTCTCTTTAGATAGGGTGTGATAGAATGTTTGCTTTGTGCCTGTCACTTGGGAAAGGGATCTACCTTGACTTTGGAAACCTTAGGCCAGTGATTCCTAATCTTTTGGGAATCCAGGAATATAGGCACAGTAATATGGAAGGAATTGCGGGTACTGGCATATTTTGGGTCTATTCCCCAGGCCAAACTTGGCTTCCTTTTGTAAAACTCTCATGTAGTCTAGAGAGGTGTTTTTATTTATTTATTTATTTATTTATTTATTTATTTATTTATTTATTTTTTGAGAGGTGTTTTTAAATTGAAGAAAAGTAAGAGAAATTTTATTTTGAAATTTTTTAATGACAACCTTAAGATATTTGGGGTTCATCTGTGGCATCTCAAAATTAGGATTAGGAGTACCTTTCCAAACCCGACACAACTGAAAAACAGTGACAACAACAGCAAACTGACCTATGCTGTCAGTCACCATCTTGTGCTAGGAGCCCTAGGTTCTGCATTCTGGGTGAGTCACACCCTTGCCTCTCCAGCCCTGGTCTCATCGGGGACGCTACAAAAGAGGAGAATCCGGACTGAGGGAACGTAGCTTTCCATTTTTTCCCCAACGCGCCAGCCCCCTTGTAGGCTGAACTGTCATGATGCTCCCACCCCGTCAGCTGAGGGAGAACAATGGCTTGTCCCATAAGCTGTTCTCTGGTACATTGCACATACCTGTGGCAGGAGGGTTCTGTGGTCATAGGATCATCGGATGCCGTAGAAGGTGCTGTGTGGGGGACTGGTTGCTTCTCTTGGTGTGGGAAAACGGTGTGTGAAGAATGAATGAATGGGGGGTAGGATTAGACGTTGGAGGGGTCTTGGGACCCTCTCTTTGCTGTCACATTCTTCACCTGCTAGTCCCCACCGTCATTTTCAGTGGGTGACATTTTGAGGAGATGGGTTCAGGGAAAAGGGGACGAAGACAGAGATCGTGCAGGGCAGATTTGAAATTGCCACATTGATGATCCCTGCCGTACGCCCCAAGCAACCTGACCAAGGAAGCTCCAGAACCCGTTGACCTTTCACTTGACCCACATGCCTTAAATTGTGCCAGATACATGATTCTGTTCAATGGTTTTTCAAGGGTCAGCCTGGCTCCTCATTCTCTTGTCTTCTTCCTTATCTGCCTCTGGATCGATGCCTGGCTATAGCCTTAGTGCTTCCTGGTAAGGGCTCTGGTTCTCTAACCCACCTATGCCATGTTGTGCTAGGTTGGGTAGAATCCTCTTCTGACCCACATCCTGCTTGCTTTGCATCACCTCCTCTGGGCTCCTCTTAGCCCTCCAAGTAGGAACAACAGCAGCAGAAGCGGCAAACTTAGAGAGAGAACCAGGAAAATGCTGATTAAGTTGACGACATCTCCGTTTAAACTGATTCAAGTTGGAATAAGTGGTTTATACTTCTATTCTCCACCCTAGTCACCACGCTAACTTCTACTTTGATTATTAAATTATAAGGGGAGGAGAAGATCATAAATATAGATCTGAACACCATGAAATTGAGTCTGAAAAACCTCAACTCAGATAAAATTCATTTAAAAATCTTCTTTGGTCTCTTGAACCTTGAACTCATTCATAGGCCTTTGCAAAGACTTAAAAGAGTCATCTGGAATAAACATATGGATATGGTAGCATTAAAGGTGAGACTTCAGGGCACCTGGGTGGCTCAGTCGGTTAAGCGTCTGCCTTCAGCTCAGGTCATGATCTCAGGGTCCTGGGATCCAGTCCCCCAGCGGGCTCCCTGCTCAGTGGGAGTCTGCTTCTCCCTCTCCCTCTCCCCTGCCATGTTCTCTCTCTTTCTCTTGTGCGAGCGTGTGTGCAAAAATAAGTAAATAACGTCTTAAATAAAAGGAAAAAAAGGTGAGACTTCAGAAAATATTGGGATGTCTTTACTGATATCCCAATACAGGGTGCCAATAATTTTCATGTCGATGATTAGCAGAACTTAATGTCTGAATCACTTTTGTTTCCTTATATAGCAAGTGTTCCACCTCTGCGTAACTAAGACAGTACAATGTTAGAAAAGTCCCGTAAGTGGAGCAGGTTGGATTCATTGGAAAGCCAGCTCCCAGATGGAGATTTGCATGCAGGAAATTTATTTAGGAATGTTCTCAGGATCAACAACAGAAGGGGGAAGAGAAATAAGCAGGGTTGGGCAGAGGGAGAAGGCCTCAGCTGACCCTGCTTGGAGTGCGGAAGCTGGTGTAGCCTTTTGGAGTTATCCCGAACTGGGGTGAGGGCACTGGGTGATTTTTTTTACCCCTGCCTCATTCAGTCATTGGATGTAGGCTGCTCCCAGCGGGGAGTGTGACTGTGGGTAAGGTGGCTTTCTTCTGCCATACCAATTCTGAAAGGAATTGACAGCTGAGCAATGTCAGACAACAAAGTCCCAAGAGCTGGAGGGAATTAATCCTCCAGCTCATCAAGGGAAATTTGGGTGATATTACACAGAATCCTTGACAATGAACAATTATTCATAGGGAAAGAATTCATGACTCTGGGTAGATCAAGGGCTGTAAAAGCACTAAGTGTCCCTCTGAGAGCAAGAGTCTGGGTTGGAGTTAAGATCTATCAGTAGATATATTGGTTGCTCACCTAGTAGAAAGGCTGTGTTTAAACCCCCTGACTTGTTATACCTTCACAATTGCATTATTTGACTCTCAGTGACTTATGGATTATTGGGCACTAACTAGTAATGATTGATCAATAGTTAGCATCAGGGCAAATTGTTGCATCAGAACTTGGTTACAAAGTTAGCTGCTCTGAGGCAAAATTTAATCTAAGAGGGGCTTAGAATAGAAGTGTTTCTCCCCTCAACTGATCATTTTATGTGTTTAGTGTCTGTCTGTAAGTCTGTTTGCCCTTGGTATGTCTATTTTATTTTGAATATTTAGGTAAACATCCAATGTCAATGTCATTGGTGGTATGGGGGGCGGGGCATAAGATTAGTGACAATGCCCTGCCAAACTTGATGGGAGCCTGAGGCAAAAGGAAAACTGGTAATGCTGATCCTGTCTTTATTTTAAACTTTGACATCTTTTTATTTTTTATTTATTTTTTAAAAGATTTTATTTACTTGAGAGAGAGAGAGCACGAGAGGGAGGGAGGGTCAGAGGGAGAAGCAGGCCCCCCCACTGAGCAGGGAGCACAATGAGGGACTCGATCCTGGGACTCCAGGATCATGACCTGAGCCCAAGGCAGTCGCTTAACCAGCTGAGCCACCCAGGCACCCCTAAACTTTGACATCTTTTTAAATGATAGATTGCTTTACATTAATTTTTGTTTTTCAAAATACTGTGTTAAAATACGGGTACCTGGGTGGCTCAGTTGGTTAGGCATGTGCCTTTGGCTCAGGTCAGGATCTCAGGGTTCTGGGATCAAGCCCTGCTTTGGGTTCCCTGCTCGGTGGGGAGCCTGCTTCTCCCTCTGCCTGCCACTCCCCCTGCTTGTGCTCTCTGTCAAATAAATACATAAAATCTTAAAAAAAAATACCGTGTTAAAATATTATTGATCATTATTAGGAAGTTTTGGGCATCCCCTTATGTTATGAGCCCAAGGTGAATGCCTCGCTCTCCTCACCCTAGTTCCCAGACATGACTCTACGAATTGGAACATGGGAGAGAACAACTTCTTTTTTCTTTTGAGATGAAATAGTCTGACTTCCTTTTGTTCTGTCTCCAAGGAATTGAAGGCTTGGGCAGGGTAAGGACATCAAGAACTGAAAGGAACAGAGGACTTTTATCTGTTAGGCTGAACCAAGCTGACCTTCAGCTACTCCTCAGACAGTAGTGACCTGCATCGGGCTGGCCTACTCCTTCACCCCTGTGATAACGCTGCTTTCCTCACGCTCAGAACTAACTCACCTGAGAGAAGATGTGACAGTGACTCATGCCTGAGAAGGAGCTCTGAAGAACAGGGATGGGGTCTGAAATGGTCCCTCAGGAACGAGTCTTAATTGTTCAGGCTCTGCCAGGAGAGACAGTTGTGTTGTTGTCCATCTTGAGAGTCATTCCAAGGCTCTGGTCACGGGGATAACCAGGCAAATATTGTCCTACCACTGTTTCACCTCTAATACAGCCATCCAGACTGACCATCGTATTGGTTCTACTGTATTTAACATGGAAGGGAAAGAACTCACCACTTATAAAAATATCATCCTATCTCATTTTGTCTAATGTGTTGAAGAAACGTGCACATTTTTGGTGCTTTTTTTTCTGGGTGATGTGATTGTGAGTGGTTTTACTTTCTTCTTTCTGCTCTTCTCTACTTTCCAAATTTCTCACAATGAACAGATATTTTTATTAAAATCAGAATAGGAATTTTAAAATGTCTAATATGAACGGTATGCTATTTCTCACTTGATTACCAGGTACCCTCAGAGTTACAGAAGGTGGGTCTGAAAGGTCATTGAGTTTATAGCATAGTTCACCTCTGACGATTCCTATTATAGGACCAATTCCTAAGCTGCCGAAGAGAGAAAAACTTCTCTCTCCTGTCCCAATTTCTGTCTTGTCTTTTGATGTATCTTGTATTAAAAAGATCCCACAATTGCCCGTAGTGTCGTGAAAATTCCAGGATAATGCAATACCCGTTTAGAAAGTCCGCAGTCTGTCCTCAAGAATTCCCTGAATCACATCATGTCAGTGGCCCATTAAAAATCCTCCACTGAGACGAACCATTAGAGACGATGGACTCTGAAAAACAAACTGAGGGTTCTAGAGGGGAGGGGGGTGGGGGGAAGG